GACATTAAAAACTGCTCGTTTCGCTGTTTGATGTTGCAAACTGATATTTCCTTGTTATATTATTCTACTTGGTCTGTATAGTCATGCAAACAATTGTTTGTAGAGCAAGTAGTTTGACCGTTTTTTGCCGTTAATTATTCCTTGTCATTTCTCCCATAGACGACTGAAACGGAAGTTCTAAGACAATCGCGAAAACAGGCGCACTTCCGCATTTTAGAATAAGGTCACCCACTGCACACAACCCTCTCCTATGAGCACTGACATTATTATCACCAGACCTGTGGTTTCTGTGTAGTATTGCCAGAAGTGCCAGGAGTAAAAATGTTACTTTTTACCCCACCTGTTGGGCAAATTGTAACAGACAGAGGATTAATTGTAACACGTGCTTAAAAAGGCAGATTTCACACAGTTAATTTGAATGCAGTTTACTTTAATAGTATCTATATTTCCTCATACTTAGCTTTTTTTGTATTCTACATACTGTAACACGGTATGTTTATTTATTTGTTGGATTAACACATTTGGATTTATTTGCGTTATTATTATACATTATTATACAATGCATTTATTTGTAGTATTAGTAAAATTTATTTATTCAATTAAAAAGGTATTTTCTATTTTTAAAAAAACTTAACATCACACTTAAAATTGAAACATTATTTTGTTTGTTTAGATGGTGTCCAGTATGTGGCTAATTTGTAACACCCTGTTACAATAACCTACATTGTACAAAATAAACTGTTGAGAAAAAAAAAAAAAAAAATCAAGACAACTTTGAGTTGTCTCAACAACTGTTTTTTAGTTCTTCTTAGTAACAATATTTTGTCAGCTAACATAATTTTGTTTATTTATGTAATGTTGATTATTTTATTTTACTAATAAAGATATTCTTTTCACATGAAGCAATAGTTACGGCAATTGAGTCAATTAATTTTTTCTATTTAGTGGATGATTTTTTAAAAATTTCCAAAATAAGTAATTACTAGTTAGCATAACATCATGTTTAAATCAATTTACTACAAGTGACAAACACAAATTAACTACTTCATTTATTCATTCATTTTCCTTTGGCTTAGTCCTTTTATACACCTGGGGTCGCCACAACAGATTGAACCGCCAACTTATCTAGCACATGTTTTACGAAGCAGATGCCCTTCCAGCTGCAACCCAGTACTGGAAAACAGCCATTCACACTCAGACACCTGTACTGCATGTCTTTGGACTGAAACTGGAGCACCCAGGTTTTCGTCGCGCCATGCATGTGTGAACTATCAACATTCCTGTTCAACACAAAAATGTTTGTCCAGAAAGCTTTGAGACATCACATTTTAGCAAGTATTGTTGACTTATATATTTTTATGTAGATCAGTAGTTATTCACAATTCTTGGTATATATGACAGAAAAAGTACAGTGTGCTGAACAAATGGTAATTTTATTTTTTACAGTGCAGCTGTGTCATGTTTTCATCAAAACTGGCTAGCAGTCACTGTGCTGCTTTTATTTCAAAATTGTTTAATCTTTAAACCTAGAAGACATTAATCACAACAATTTTACTAAGATACTTTCTCAGATTTTTTAAATAAAAAAATATTGACTATAATAAAAAATAATTTTATGCTGCAAAAAATGGTTTATCCTGTGTTTCTTGTGCAAATTTTGCTGAACTTCGTAAATAATTATCATGAAAACCTTGAAAGCATGCAATGGTTAATCCTGAGCAAATAACTTAAAAATCTGTGTTACGTTTTACCACTTGTTACTTTATGCCTCGCACTCCCCTAGTTCACTTTAAAAAAAATATCCACTATATTCCACTATAAATTCCCAACATTTATGAGCTTCTTTCTTCTGTTGAATATAAGAATGTATATTTTAAAAAGGTGGTAACCTGTAACCAATAACTTTCATGTAGTAAGGAAAAACAAATATGGAAGTCAATGGTTACAGGTTTACAACATTTTTTTTCAAAGTATCTTCTTTTTTGTTTAACAGAAGAAAGCAACTCATGAGGGTTTGAAACAATTAAATAGACGATGACAGAATTGATAAATTGTGCCTTTCAGAGAGGGAAATGACCAAAAACAGACAAAAGCAATTCTTTATATATTTTGTTGTCATCGGAAGAAAGTATCTCTTAAAAGCTTATTGGAATAAGTAGAGAATTAATTTTTTTTTTATTTTTTTTTTTTTACTTGGTTATGGCTCGACTATCTAGCCAGCACGCCCTAGTATATTGTACCTAATTGCCACACATTAGCACATCCAGAAGTATTTGATTCTCCCATGGAGAAACTCTTGAGTTGCGGCTTTCCACAATCACTGTGCCAATCTGCACCCAACTGTTCCTGGGTGGGGTCATTGCTGCCCTGCAGGGTTCCTTGGTCTGCCACATAGTTTAGAATGCTAAAAAGTTGCATAATTGATGAGCACTATCACTGTTATGGTAATTCAGTCAATCACACTGATCCTCTTTGATGAGCCATTGACAAGTATTACCAAAGCCAATGTATTTGCAGAATCATTGCTGATTAGAGAAAATATGCATTTATTGCTAATAGAATTAGCTCTCGGTTATAGCTTATAATAGCCTAATCTATACATTCATGGTAATCTAGTTTTTTTTTTTTATTAATTCAGTTAAACAGTGAAAAGTTAGTAAACAAAATTATAAATTCACCCATGTCAATACTAAGCACAACTTCCCTCACAGACATACACATTCAATATAGTGCTCCTTTTTTATTTATCTTTACTTAAAATACATTTTAGTTAGTTGATTGGTTTGAAATATTCCAAAAATTTAGGTTTGAGTCAATAGAGATTCAGAAGCAGTAACAATTAGTTCATTTTGATTATATAATTATAATTGCATACCAATCCTGTTCTCAAAAGTATATGTTACGTTATCAGTCTGTGTCTTTATCTCATAGCCAACTATGCTATATTAAGAGGGATCAGTTCACTCCAAAAAAAAAAAAAATCAAATTTTTACGAGATACTTTTGAGAAAAAAATAAGTCTGTTATATTTACTCATTCTTCACTTGTTTCAAAACTGCATGAGTTTCTTTCTACCATTTATCATGAAAGAAGATTAAAAAAGTGGGAAACCATTGACTTCCATAATATTTGTTTTTCCTATGGAAATCAATGCTTGTATACGACTTTCTTCAAAATTGTGATGAACACAATTTTTAAATTAGCTTTTGTGTTAAACAGAAGAAAGACACTCATAAAGGATTGAAACTATTTTGTGATGAGTAAATTTTTATTTTTTGGGTGAACTATCCCTTTGAGATTAAAGTAGATCTATATTGAATAGATGTAGTGAATTATTCACCGAGAAATTCTGCCATCGTTTACTTCACACATTACTTCTTTCAAACTTTTATGAATTTCTTTATTTAGAAGAAAAATAAGTTATTTTGAAGAAAGCTGAAAACTTGTAACTATTGACTTCCATATATAGTTTTTTCGTAGGCCTATAGGGAAGTCGGTTGGGCCTACATGATAATCTTTCTTCAAAATATCTTCTTGTGTTTAAACAGAATAAAGAAACTCATAAAGGTTTGGAAACAGGATAGGGAGAATAGTTTGTGATAAATTGTAAATATTAAGTAAACTATCAATCATGTAACCTAAATGACAATCAAACTATTATCTTTAGGCCCAACTATTTGTTACAAAAATTTTTTATTCAAAAGGGAGAGCGGGGACAAAAGTAATGTGGGACGAAAGTAACAAAGCGTTTTTGTTTGTTTGTTTGTTTGTTTTTTTCAGCGCACTGACAACATTTGCTTTCCAGGTTAAACTAGCACATTCATCGTGCAAACCTTGATGGAGCTGCCAAATATCAGCTAATTTTGGGACAATGTTCCGCGGTTAGGCCTGTATTTCTGTTTTTAAGTGCAAAAAATAAATTGTTGTAGCAGTTCTTTTTTTCTTATTAAGTTTTGTTTCTCTTTTCATGTGTCACGCTATATGATATCTGTGGGTTATTTAGTGCAATAACACATCCTTAAGTTTGCATTCTCTGAGTTTTTTAGTGTAAAAGTAAATCAGATTTAAATGAGTTCCTTCAAGGACAAACTATAAATCGTGTCCCACTGTTAAAAGACAAACCTTATTCTTAATAACACATTAGTTTGCAGTGTTTGCATTCAAATGGTTTATAAAATTGATGCATATTGCCAATAATAATAAAAAAATATTTAAAAATTGTAGGAAATGTTCAAGTTTTGCATTGTTGGATCGCTTTTAAAAGATTTGGTTGAACTAAAATTTAAAATGAAAATGACATTTAATTTTTTTGTAATAACAAAGGAGGACAAATATTTTTGCAGTGAATATTAACATAGTTTTAGTCAGATATATTTAAAATAAACAAGATTAAGTCAGGAAATCTAGCACTAGCACTAATACTAGATATAAATAAATAAATAAATAAATAAATAAATAAATAAATAAATAGAAAGAAAGAAATATCTAACAAGTTGTGATATTTTTGACAGACGTGTGTTCTTCCCTACTGATGGGGTCAAAAGTAACACTGTGCAACTTTTGTTATATGAGTTATATGTTATATGAGAGTTGTTCTACATTTATACAAAAAAAAAAACACCTGATTTTGATAGACATTGTGAGTTAGAAACCATAGCAACAAAAAATAAAAATCTACTAAAAAATTTTTTTTAAAGGATTTTATGAAAAATGGTACTTTCGTCCCTGCTCTCCACTATTTCATTGGTAAACTGGAAGATGAGTTTATGTCTTCTGATTATTCTGATAACAACATGGTTTATTTATTTATTTCTGTCAATAATATAAGTGCAGTAACTTGGTCGTTATTTACCCTATCCACTGGTAACTGTAAATTCATGACCGTAAATATTACACACACCATTCATATGCGACAAAAAGCAATATGTTTCCGCGTGAGAGCATTATAACCGTAACAAAGGGATCTTTATTCATGTAAAGCCTGTGACGCGACGCGAAGTGAACCCGCCCTCATTGATCCGCAGTGACGTGAAGCCTTTAAACGGGCGCCATTTTCTGTGCTCTTTCTCATTCTGCCGCAGTCGGCGACGCGCTGTACAACCGTCCTGTGTGTTCAACAGAAACTCTGAGGTAACAAATATGATCTTTCTTGCCATGTTTTTGGTCTATACTGAAGCATTAATTTGATTCGGCTTGTTCTGTTGATGTTTAGTTTGTAATTCTGCTTTATTGTTCGCATTTAGGCGATATTTGATATACTTTCATATTTACAAGTATTTAAAATAGGTATTGTGTAATGTTCCCCGGTGTGACTACCGTTTTACCTAAAAGGTCTCAAATGCAGCATGTAAGTAGTCGCGGAATTGTACGATTTTGTGACTTTCTTTGTTCACGCTGCTGGCGTGTCGTTGACGCTAATTGCTTTCCGTGACCTAGTTCCACTGACCTACTTTTTACAAAACCGGGTTTAGCATTAAGTAATCGTTTCACTGTATTTTTTTAAAACGAGGATCGATCAAGATGTTAAGTATTGGGTGCGCTGATGTATTTAAGATTAAAGCCTTTCTTTGAAGCAAAATGGCTGCAGCACGTTGTGAGGAAGGGGGATGGTTAGAAAATGGCGTTTCCTTGTGACGCACTTTTAGGTGCGGTGTTTTTGCTTTCGATTCTCGTGTGCACGCGGTGATCTATATACTTTACGCTTTTAAGTCAACATTTTTTTTTTTCAGGTTATCATCATGTCTGACGAGGGAAAGCTTTTCATCGGTGGTCTGAGCTATGATACAACAGAACAGTCCTTGGAGGAAGCATTCTCCAAATATGGAACCATTGCCAAAGGTTTGTATTTAGTTCCATTTTACGTGTGTATTTGTATACTTTTATATTAATTTGTATATGTGTGTGTAAAATTAATTTGTAATTTTTCATTTTATTTTTTTATAGTTGATGTTATCAGAGACCGTGAAACTGACCGTTCTAGAGGCTTTGGCTTTGTGACCTTTGAAAATCCAGAAGATGCTAAGGATGCCATGGCTGCCATGAATGGAAAGGTTAGAATTTTAGCCTTTTAATGAATAAAATCTGTAATTTTGAGTGCTAAGACACCATGTATTTGTTGTAAGAGGGTTTTTGTAACGTCTATCCTTTTTTTCTGGGTATTTTTCAGGTTTAGATAAATGTTATTCTAATTTGAATTGTGCATGTTTGAGTCTTTTTTGTCGTTTTTGTTTTCCAGCAAGTTGATGGTCGCATGATTCGCGTTGATGAAGCTGGCAAATCTGGTGGACGGTCTGGTGGTTTCAGAGGGGGTTCCAGAGGTGGTGGCAGAGGCTTCTTCAGAGGCAGCAGAGGAAGAGGTGGGAATTCTCACATTTAAATGTGATTGCACTAGCAGATGGCCACATTTGCATTTGAAGGGAACTTGGTGGCACATTATCATGACAAAGCTGATTGTCCACTTTAATAGCTGCAAGTTAACTTGATTTTCTTGTATAAAAAGGTGGTGGCGGATATGGCGGAGACAGAAGCTATGGCAGTGACAGGAGTTTTGGTGGTGACCGGAGCTATGGAGGAGACCGCAGCTATGGCGGTGGCGATAGAGGCTATGGTGGTGGGGAGAGAAGTTATGGAGGTGGTGACAGATCCTATGGTGGCGGCGGTGGTGGATACTCCAACAGGAGTGGAGGATACTCCAGCGGCGGTGGATACAGGGATAACAGGTGAGGGATCTCTTACATTTGGAATGGTTATGCATATGGAAGAGTATTCTTACCCTTGCAACCGTGAGCCCCTTAAATATGGCAAATATTACTGTTGATTTTAGGAACCAGGGGGGATACGACCGCTCTGGAGGATCCTACAGAGACGGTTACGACAGTTACGGTACGTATTGATTTATAATTATTAAACCTTATTAGTCAACTGCACCAACCTGCACTATAAATCTGTCCATTTTTGCCTTTAGAATAATGTCAAGATGAAAGCCAAACTGCCATATTTGAACTTTTGAGATCAGTCTACTTGGTTGCCCTTACCTTGGAGTTGCTGACCACAATCCAAAAAGTCATTTTTCAGTTTTAACCACTAAAGTCGGTTTTGTGCACTTGATCAATAGTCAATAAGTCCTTGTACGAAAAAGAATCATGTCTTGGTATCAGTTCTGTTTGGAAAGGATGTTCTCAATGCTCCAGTGCCTTTACACTCTTGCCTACTTCTTGTCCTCAGCTTCACACGAGTAAAAAAACCCCGATTGCAAGATCATCCCTACGCTGGCTGTATTTAAAAAGATGCGCTCTTCGAAGACCTTTTTTATTTTTTACTTTTTTGCTTTACGTTGTGTTCCAGTTGAAATGTTCTATTAAAGACAGTCCCCTTTTTTTACCCGTCAAGTATCTGCAGGATGTTCCTCGATGAGGAGCTGCATAAAATCAATGAGCATTCAGTTACTGTAAGAGTTTCAAGCCTGGTGAGGCTACCTGTATCTGATATTTTACCTTGGGAATTGTTATAGATGCTCACAGGGGTTTGAAATTCTTGTTTCTTTTTTTTAGTATGTGTTTAAGAAACTGTGTCTCTGAAACCATGCGTGAAAACTGACCTGTCCAACACAGCCTGATAGCTTCTAAGACCAATTTCCTCAAAGATCTTTGGACCAATTTCTCACTGGCTCACTGAAAGTGCTAGGGGCCTTTTGCATTTAAAATGAATTTTAAAAGCGGCAGCTTCGCCACCTGAAAAATATTCTAATCCGATCCTCTAATAGAAGCTTGATAAGCTGTGATGTGTTCTTTATGGCTCTTCGCCACCTCCATGTTGTGATGCATTCCTTTAGTGAAGCAAGGCAGGCATGTTGCATTGGAGTTGTCTCCGGCAAACCTCCTTGATGTTGCTAAAGATTTGTAAATACTCATTCAAAGAGTAAACCACTTGGGTTGGGTCATTAAACCTCATGTTAGGACTGATGACCCAAGGTACTTTACTCTTTGCACAGTCTAAATTTATTTTTAAACTATGCTCTGCTGTGGACTGAACGTATCCTCTTAAATGTCAATTTTGTGCTGTTCTGTATCAAAACCTCAGAATCCTTTTCTTTTTGTATTAAATTGGCTTCATGAAGCCCATTAAAAAGTGGTTGGAAAACGCTCTGATTTCTTTTGCCTCCGATATTTAAAACTAATCCTTGCTAGTCAGTTTAATGTATTGGATTGATTAGTGGGGAACTTAGCATCTGGGATCTTAAACATTTTATCCAAGCAAATAAAACTCAGTTCTAGCTCAGTAAACCAATTTAAAGATGAAACGTTGCTGTTATGATATAGCACCCAATGGTTCTGTATAATGCTTCATTGGATCCAAGAGTTCTCTGCTAGAAATTTTGGAAATCCTCAATGTCCTTGGAGAATGAAGTGTTGTGCCTTCCGACTCAAGAATCCTGATGAAAGCTGCTCTCATGGCTAGGTCAATTGTGGAGATAGGCCTGTAATGTGAGGTAAAACCTTTTGCTCTCCTGTACGCATCCTACAACAGTTCTCATTGTCCATGTTTTCTTCGACTATTGCCTCAACAAGTGACTTATCTTCAGAATGTTCAATCCTGTTCCACAACTTCCTGTTTTTTTTTTTTTTTTTTTTTTAAATGAGAAAGCTGCATGATTTTTATTTTTAAAGTGTGCTCCTTTTTTGGCAAAGTACCTCATGCGGCCTTTGAAATGAGAGATAAAGTCCCTGTTCTGATTGCATTTTTTTTGTCTGCACCCATTATAAACCATGTATTTTTTTCACTAGTCACAGATTTGACAATTTTTGAAGAGATCTAGCCTTTGCGTCACCTCATCGTCTTTTGAGTGATTCACTATGGAGTCTCTAAAAAGTAGTCTGGCCCCATGTTCTCAATTTAGTTATGATTTTAAAATGGAAATGTTTGTCTTAATTGCATGATTGAGAGCATTCATGTATATTTTGTAGTAAAATATAAATTTTATTTTTCAGGCTGACTTTCTGGATGTTGCATTTGAAAACTAGATGAGAGCGTTAACCTCTGTGATGAAGTGAAGTCGTCATCAGCTGTTAATAAAAGAGGTATGTATTTAGTGTAGTCTTTATGAAACTTATGGCCAATGTGGTACTAAATAGTGTTTGTTTTTTTTTGTTTTTTTCTCAGGGCTATTGGAAATGCCTTCTATGTGGATGAATCCATCCTTCTCAAAAGGAAGCATTGAAGCGCTTCACTGTTCAGTCAACATGAAGTTTAGATGTTTGCTATTTTTCAGAGAGGTCGTTTTTGTAGTGCGAGTGAAAGTCATTTAATAAAGTCTGGTTACATTGAGTACTTTGTGTTGCATGTTTTTTGCCATTGTTTTTAAAGTTATGATTGATTGGTAAAATCTAATTTGGTTAATTTTTGAAATTAACCAAACCACTTGTAGGGAGCAGAGTTTTTCTTGCGTTGCTTCATGCAGCTGATGTGGGTTGTTTGGGTAAAGAGAAATATTAAATGAGTGGTATTTGACTTGGTATTTAGGTTTAATCCTAATACACCATGACAAGAAATTTTGTCAATTATAACTGCTGATCCAGTAGATTCCCCAGTGTAAAGTTAGTTGTACCATGGTTAGGTCTAGCAGTGCCATTTTTCTATTGTCATGGCAGCTGAGAGAAGATAAAATTAAAATCTGCACCAAATCCACTTCACATGTAATGTCTGTATCTGCTACAACTTTGAATATAGCAGACGTCTTGGTGTTTTAGACCAGTCTTAAATTATCTAGATTTTGAAATCATGCGAGGTGGTTTTATGGAGTGTCTGGGCTCTTAAAGTATTATAAGTTGGTAAATCAATGTAAAGAAATTTTAAAGTCCTTAAAGTAGGCTATTAGTCTTAAATACTGCTTTGCAAGGTATTAAATAAATTTTTTTTGGTTATATAATGTATGGTTTAATGCTGAAGTATGCTTGTATTAAATCTGGATGCTGTGTAGTTTATGGAACCCTGCTAGATTTGACATCATGCTGATTTGTTTACTGCAGAAACCAAGGCGACGCCATTGTTTCTGTTCAGTAGAAAAATGATTCAATTTTGGATTAGTATCTTAGTTTAATATTACGTGAATATACTGCAAGTTAATCTTGCCTGTGCTTCTGGTTAAAACCCAAACTAGTTCTAAGGTCTTAATGTATAAGAGTTTGTAAAAGGTAATGAATTTCAGTCTCCGATTCCTGTATATACTCTTATAAACAAATGTAATTTATGTTTGAATCATATCCGAGTAGGCTGAGGTAGGCTACATGTAAATTGCTGAACTTGTGTATATAAAGAACTTGAGCAGTGTTGGTTAATAACTTTAAAAAATAAATAATTGCTAATAACGCTAATTTCATTTAAAACGCTTTTCTAAATATTTTTAAATGTATCCTTGGGTGAGTTTATTGCTTTTCTCAATTCATAATTGGATAATTGTCATTTTAGTTTAAATTTATGCAAAATATTTGTCTAACAAAATGCAGTTACTCTGCTCAGAATTGATGGAACTTACAGAACTGTTACTCAGAACTGTTGAATTTACGTGCAGTATTTAAGTAGAAGTAATAATTACCTAAAAATGAAAAGTAATATCCCTTCAGTGTAGTTACACCCCGCACTGTCTTTCTAGAAGCATAAGGAATGGGATCGAGATTAGAAGGGGAAAACCCAGATCATCTCAAGCACAACCTGCTTTGTATAACAATGTCGGAGCACTGAATGGCTTTTGACTAGTAGTATGATCAAAATGTAAACATTGGTTGAGGTTCGTACTGCAATTTGCAAAAATGTGCTCTAAAAAAACTTAAAAAAAAAAATCTGCACTGGCTTTTGCACTGGGACAGATGCTTGTTTTTTTTTTTTTTTTTTTTTTTTTACGTAGATGGCAAACGGTCACCACAAGGTGGCAGTGGAGGACAACAACTGCATGAATGCATGTAGAATACTTGTTAGACATGGTTGCACTGACTATAAATCTGTGGAATATATTTGGAAACATAAATGTACACTGTGTGACAGTCGATTTGACTTGTTTTTAGGTCAAAGCAATTTCCTGTGCAACTTCTGTACAAACAAGTGGCCCGCCTCACCATATCACTGTGACTATATCATTTGATTTTATATCAGAATGCACAAAAAAAAAAAAATCAACCATTATTAAGAAATTGTACCTCCTTTTTGGAGCTCTGCTCTTTTTTCACGCTCAAGATAAATTTCTTATATAAAGTGCATTAAATATGTTGCAATAGTAAAACTAAACATGGATTATTGAATTGTTGAGCCAAAACGGACATTTTCTAGTTTGCTATTACCAACTATGTAAAGCATTTATTAAGAATTATTATTTTTTAAATTGTGATTAAAACTTAAGAATGCACAGACAACTGGCCATTTTAAAATCTTTTTGAATATAAAAATATAGATAGAACAGAGACTTAATAATTTGCCATTAACATTTTGAATTTTAAAATAAAAATGTAAATTAGTAACACTTTGTTTTGATGGTCCATTTGAGTATTAGTGGACTGTCTGCTTAATATCTGTTGATACTGCTTCATCAACAAACACTTAACTGACTACAAGAAACTTTGCAAGTACATCTTAACAACACTAACCCCAACCTAACAGTCTACTTATAATCCAATGAGAATTAGTTGGCCTGTAGATGCTATGTAACTTAAATTCAACAAACGGACAATCAAAATTAAGTGTGACCTGTACATTTTTAAAAATGTTTTTATTTTTATTTGCACCTACATTTCACTTTGTATGCATTTTCTGATTAAAAAGAATATATATATATATATATATATATATATATATATATATATATATATATATATATATATATTCTATATATACACCTGTCGTTTACACCAGGCAGGTGTCGTCACAAATTTTAATTCTTTTTTGCAAAATAGAAAAGAGAGAAAAAAAAGACTTTTGCACTTGCAATCTGTATATCTGCAAAAAAAATAAAAAAATTAGAAGCAAATAAATAAATCCAGGTAACAAGTCTTACATAAAGTTCATGTGAGGAAGTCTAAACTGTTGTATAATGATATATCATTAGCATGATGTCATGATCTGGTGTGCTCATAGAGAATTTTGGATGTGGAATGATCCACATCTATACCTTCAGGTAAAACCTTGGTGTCATTGACCAAATATACCTTTAAATGAATAAGTAGATAAATTAATTATATATATATATATATATATATATATATATATATATATATATATATATATATATATATATATATATATATATATATACATATATATATATATATATATATATATGTGTGTGTGTGTGTGTGTGTGTGTGTATAGATATACATGTCAGATTTATCCGCAGTGTTTGTATGCCTCTTCTAAAAATTCGAAATTTTAAAATTTCACCCACCTTTGTTTACAGTTGGCTGCTGTAAGCACAATATTCTCTCTTATCAAAAAACCACCACATGCCAATTTTTTTTAAATTTGAGTCCTTAATGTAGACCATGTAGGGTTGACTGTGTGGAATAGACACTTGAAAAAAAGATTAGTTGTATAAAACAATTTGAAGCATATTCTGTTAAACAATCGATTTTTAAAAGAAAATTTAATGTAGTCACCTGGAGCACAGGAACGCAGCAGCGGTAGCAGACTAGTGGTTTGCCAAAAGATTCTCATCATTGACAGCTCAGTTTTGGTGTGCAGCTCAGAGATGTTGAGTTCTGCTTTTATAGGAAGTTCAGATCAGGAAGATAATGATAGAAGTTGCAGTGTGAACTGCATCCAGATCAGTCTCATTGATATAACAGCATTTTAATTAGTTATTTTTAGAGAAAAAGCTAATCACAGATCAGTAATTATCAGCATTTGCTGTTTCATAACTCATCCACACATTGCTGATGATATCAGAAAACATGCTAGTGATATAGTTCTGGAAAATTCGATATCAATGTAGAAAGCTATGGAGCTTAAAATGTGCCAAAACAATCTGAATTTGAATTGTGTTCATTTGAATTAACAATTGTGGGTAAAATAGGTAATTCTACAAAAACATGAATTCTACAAATTAAGTGAACTTTATTTATAAACTAATTTCGAGAGGAGCACGGCTTATGATTGATAACACCTGGTCCACATTAGCTAACACTGATTTACCAATCAGACGACTCCTTAACCACTATAAATAGCCAGAGTATCTTACTTCAGCCACGAGTTCAGGGCTCTCTCTCAGGACAGCATGTCAAACGCGCTTCATAATCAATCGTCAGCTAAGGGTGAACTCTTGAAAATGTATTTTAATAGATGCCAACACCGTAAAATATCCTGGTTGTCATAAATTTTTAAGCTGAATCAAATTAACCTTATGAGTTAATTGAACTTGTATTTTGGTAAACTGACTTAATGACTGACATAACTAATAAAATTAAGTTAGAACTTGATTAACTTCGTTTGATTAGTTGCAATGGACAAACAACATCCTTTTTATGATTCAAGAATGCAAACTTCTCAACGTTTGGCATACGTTTCATAAGAAACCTCCTACACTGTAAAACCCAAAAAGTTAACATAACTTAAACCATTTGAGGAAATCGATTGCAACAAACCATTTAAGTTCAACAATGAATCCTACTGAGAACTGTGCATTAAAGTTTAATTAAATGCATTAAAGGTGAAGTAATGAGGTATTTAATTAACTTATTGCCTTCGACACTGAGTTACTTAACTTCCAGTAAATTTTGAGTTAAGTACACTCATTTCATTTAATTAAGTTGACTGTTGGGTTTATATCTTGCTTATCAGTCCATTTTCATGCGTAGTGTTTGCTTTAGATCCCTCTAGGTCCAGTGGTTTAAACTGCATCCTAATATTGTTGAACAACCAAAGTAAATAAACAGAAAACCAAACTAATTTCACTCATCTAATCTTTAAATTTGCAAAAATTATTGATTTGATGCCAGGGTGTCTCTACCATCAGTTCAATAAAATGACAAACCGTAAAATACATAATTCACCAAAATAGCAGACCGGTTGACCAGTGGGCTTTCAAAATAGAAAGTTGCATGTGACACTTTGAAATCTGGCCACACTTATGAAATTGCATTTGAGAGATCAGGATTTAGCCGGCGCATGTCTTTGAGATTGTGCAGTGCACTAAATCATTCAGATATTCTGCATTTGAAGGATCACAGTTGTTAAATTTGATCTGTGTTCAGCTCCTGACTTCACAAATGTTTGCCTTGCATTACAGCTCACATCCTCTACCCACACAGAAGGCCCGTCATGTTTATTTTGCAGTTCTCAGAAGATCACCAGATAGTGCTTACTCTAACCGCAGTGCCACAGCTTAAGTTTGTGAGTACGTTTTTTAGACTAAGTCTTTTGATCAGCTTTAACCTTTTGTATGCCCTATTGAAGCTCATTTTTGTAACGGACAAGACCAGAAAATAGACAGGAATTAAGAAGGCAAGACAGTGACAATACATTCCTGACATTGTTAAATAATAATAAAAAACTGTACATTTGCTGTCTCACCTAAATGGTTTTATGAATTGATTTACATTTTTTTCAAGTTTGTGCGTATATTTCCAATAAAATTACTCATAAACTAAATCACTTAATCCAGAATAAAAAATCTGTTTCATTTAATGGAGATGAGATGGAGGAGACCTAAATGGTAGTTCACTCAAAATTTTAAATATACTATTTTATCTGCCTCAAGGGATTCAAAAACTTTATCCTGTTGAACACACAAGAAGAAATTTTGAAGAAATCTGAAAACCACTGACATCCACACTCTAAAAACGTTGTGTTAAAAATATATGGTGCTTTGGCAGGTTATTTTTAACCTTTATTTGGTGTATGTATTAATAACTTAACCAGTTGGGTTAAAATTTTTGAATTTCAGAAGTCACCTGCTTTAGCTGACACAGAACAGCTGTATTAATATGCATACGTAACGTTGTTTTTGCTTTGTAAAGTTTTTATTTACCTCTACGAGTCGTTTTTGTTTTTTTTCCGGTTCACCAGCATTCTTAATTATTGATAATACAAACGTGCGCTTCATAGCGGATCTATATTAAATGAATAAAAATCCTTAAGTGTCTGGGACGTACAATGTAATGAAAGTAAAGCATTTTCGATATTTTTGAAATTGGTTATTTATTTACACAGACATGATATAAAATGAATGGTAGTACTAGTAATATTAGCAATAGTAATACCAGAATGAATAATAATAAAAAAAAACAAAACATTTAATCAAAATAACCCATAGTTGGGAAGGTCCTAAAATGGTTGAGTTATATGTTGGGGTATTTTTAACCCAACTATTTTAGCGAAGCACAGAAGATATAGCAAATGTGTAAGTCAATGGTTATCAGTTTTCCAGCATTTTTGGGAACATCTTCTTTTGTGTTCAACAGAACTCTCAAACAGGTTTTGAACAGGTAAAAGGGTGAGAAATAATGAAATTTTGGCTGAACTATTCCTTTAAGACGAAACTGGGTCATTGTCATTTGAAATGAGCTGTAAGAGTAAATACACAGTAAAACCTAACTAAAGGAAATAAGGTAGTTTAACTTTAAAAGGTTACTTTGACTCTGTGAAAAAGACTTATGGTAACTCATGAATGGATTATATTAAGCAGAACTCAAAATGAATGAGTTATGAATGAATTAATTATATGTTTTATGTTAACTTATCTCTAAAACTAGTCGCAATACCAAACCTTTCCAGTTGTTTTATAGTTCTTTGGACTTAATTTGTTGAGCTTATAGTGATTTGATAACTCATCTTAAAATGTTTAAGTTTTGAATTCCCTAAAAGTTTGATAACACAAATTATCAACACAAACAATATGTGTACACTGTAAATTTTTTTTGTAATTTTACGTTTTTTTTTTTCCTGGCAGCTGGGGGGTGCTGGAAAAAAATTTAAATAATGGCCGTTAAATTACAGACATGTACCGTAAAATAACAGATGGTAAATTACAAAAAAAATTATGGATTTCTGTAATTTAACGATAAAAAAAAATTACAGTGTTTAAGGCTCTATATATAGCCATATAGTTTTCAGTACTCAAACCATATTGTTTCAAAACTTAAATGGTTTGCCGCAAACAGTTTTCTCAAACAATATAGTGAAACCTTTCCCAAACTGTACTTATCTAATAAAAGCGTATTGTACATAATTTTAATAATCTTTTTGGTCAGTTGTAATTCAAACACACGTCAAAACAACACTTCAAATTTGTATTAGTCTTTTGTACAGATACAGTGCAAAGCCTAACAGTGAAAATCACTAAATGAAATAAGTTAGTTTAACTTTAAATAAAAAAAAAATAACTCAATGAAGAAGAGTTATGGTAACGCATAAATTTTGGACTTTAACTGAATTGACCAGTTTAAGGTAATTGAACTAATAGTGATTTGAAAACTGAACTTAATCTGTTTAAGTTACTAATAAAGTTTGATGATTTCAACACACAATATATGTGTATGTGACACAATATATAAGCTTACAGTACTCAAACCATTTAAAAAAAAAAACTGGAATGGTTTGCTGCAACCGATTTCTTCAACCAGTTTGAGTTAACTTAGGGGGTTTTACAGTGTGTTAAAGCACATCGCTGTAGGTGAAGTATAAATTAGATATTTTCAGACTGAAGATTATTATTATTATTGCTGAATGGCGTAGAAGAGCATTCACTTTACAATCATGTGTAAACGACAAATCAATTCAGTAAGGTTTTTTCTTTATAGTATTTTATTCTGTTATCTGCATTACACATTTTTCCTAAACATCCTTTTTCAGCAATTATAAAATACACTTTCAGCACAAGGTGGCAGTGGTGCCCTGCAGCTGCACAAATGCTCAGTAGTTATTAGAAATAGGAAAAAACATTGCTTTTTGAATCAGTTGAATGGTTTCACATAAACATATATTTTTAACTTGCATATACATCACGTTTAATGCCGCAATACTAAAACCAAACATAAATGATTAACTCTGGACCAAACAACTAAATGAGTTCATACAACTTCCCCCTCCATGTCTTCAGTTGCTGCTGATAAGTTTTATTCATGATGTGATCAATCCATTGATGGTAGTGAGAAATACGAGTGTATCTTGTGAGGTATACTCCAGATGACTCTGTGTAAAAAGACACAATTCCCTGTGCAGCATCTCCACAAACAAGTGGACCTCCAGAGTCTCCCTGTGGATGAAATCATTTGATTATTATTAATTACATAAGCATAAATATGAATTATTGGTATCATCTAAAATACCTTTGCTGGTCCAATCATCTAAAATACCTTTGCTGGTCCAATTGATCCGTTAGTGCAAAGGGTGTAATTAGTGCCACACTTTTTAAAGTCTATCAGAGTCACATTCGCTTCTTTGAGGACACTTGATGGACACCCGTCAACATAATCCTGCCAGCCCCAACCCAAGACCATGCAGTCTTTCGAGATTTCCTTATTCTCACATTCTGGCCAGGTGATAATATTCACAGTTTTGTTCAAGGTTGCCGGCGTCTTAAGCTGAAAGAGAAGATGCAAAATGAGATCTGTTTACTGTCAAGAAAGACTTTATTTTATTACTGTAGCTATGGTGTTAATGAAGCTTATAGATTATAGAACCACCTTTAGAAGCATGATGTCATCGCCTGGTGCATTATTGAATTTGGGATGTGGTGTGGCTTCTACCTCGATGCCGTGAGGTAAAATGTGGGTGTCATTGACCCCCAAATAGACCTTTAGATGACTAAAGGTGGGGAAAAAAATAGATATCAGAAGAAAAAATTACAAAATTATAGAAAATATCTATCTATCTGTCTGTCTGTCTGTCTGTCTGTCTGCCTATCCATCTATCTATCTATCTATCTATCTATCTATCTATCTATCTATCTATCTATCTATCTATCTATCTATCTATCTATCTATCTATCTATCTATCTATCTATCTGTCTGTCTATCTATCTGTCTGTCTGTCTGTCTGTCTGTCTGTCTGTCTATCTACACACTGTAAATAATATCTGTAAATTAGCAGTAAACTTTTGATTTTGTAAAAGTGACTTCATTTGTAATTTGTATTAGTTTGATGTGATAAATGATCTGTAATGTTGTAATGCTGTATTTTATTTCTTATACAATACATTGGTTTAAACTAGTAAAATGTCAATAAAAAGCTGATTTCTTTCACAAAAAATAGCTTTAGATGTTATAATCCATAAACATTTTTAGCTGTTGGATCAAGTCTAGATCGGATACGTGGCTGGCTGGAAGTGCGATATGCACATCAGTATAGCAACATTTTTTTATGACACTGTATAACAATAATTATTATTTTTACAATACTGTGACGGTTAGGTTTGGGGTGGGGGTAGGTGTTAATAAATTAAATTTATAGGGTAATTTAATAGATAACATAAATAATACTCTGTACAATTACTGTTTTTAAAGTGCTGTGACGGTTGGGTTTAGGGTTGGGGTGGGAGTAGACGTTATTAAAACACAATAAATGGGAAATTTCATAAATAATATAAATAATTCTCATTAACTTCTGGCCGCAACCATATCCGATCTAGGATAATGAAAAAATCTAATGAAAAAAGTTACAAGAGAATGAAAGAAAGAAAGAAAGAAAGAAAGAAAGAAAGAAAGAAAGAAAAGAAAAAAATAAAGAACATGATATAAACTTGAGGGTAAGACATTTAGGAATCAATTACAGCATAGGGTGGGCCATTTATATGGGAATGGTTAGTGATATTAATGTGCTGTTTGTGGCACATTAGTACATGTGAGGGGACAAACTTCAAGATGGGTGGCCATTTTGAAGTCGGTCATCTTGGATCCAACTTTTGTTTTTTTTCAATAGGAAGAGGGTCATTTGTAGGCCCACCCGGAATCTGCACATGCAGAATTCAGCAGATTTCTGCAGATATAGCCCATCAATAATTCTGTTCATTTACTTGAGTAAATGTGTGTAAATCTATATTTATCCTTTTTACTTAATTTCAGTAATATTATTGACTAATGTAGAAATGTTCATCTGATTTATGTACAGTGCAGTTTGTACAGTAAAATTTTGTCTTTTACTAGATATATTATATGACAAACTTGCTTTATTTACCAAATAAAGTGAATCTTATTGGATTTGCATTTTAAACATTAAATAAAAAGTAAAAAGATATATTCTTTTATTTCATATATTAAAGTTTTAGTTATGATACTCCCAGAATAATTCCACAAAAATCCACAGACTTTTACCAAAATTCTCCGCAGAAATAGCAAAAAATGTCCGCAGATTCTGTCTGGCCCACACATCAAACTTATTGGGAATTTTAATTAACTTCATTCCTTAATGAGTTATTAACAAGTTTCTGACCACTTATAAAATGTGTTCAATGTGCTGCCCATTGTGTTGGATTGTCAATGCAACCCTCTTCTCCCACACTGATAGCAACACCGCAGGAGAAATGCACAGGCTTCCAGTATCTGTAGATTCAGGTGCTGGCAACAATGGCCACCATGGTCACCACCCATCTTGAAAAAATTGCCCCCTCACATATACTAATGTGCCACAAACTGGATGTTACTATCGCCAACCATTCACATTTTATTAAGGTGTCCATATAAATGGCCCATCCTATATATAAATTAAAGTCATTATAAAATGAAATAGCTCTGTTTGCGTTCTTGTTTTTAGATAATGAAATTCAATGTAAATAATGAGTAAATTCTTGCAAAAAAAACAGGAAAATAAAACATTTCTATTAGTAGAGGCAGATTTATAATAACCAAAAAAAAAAAATTTTTTTTAAGTAACAGAAACATCTTGCTGTATATTATCATTATTAAATGACCTTTCTCTTCTTTTGGGTTCTTCATAAACCTATGGGTGACGTCACGGATACTACGTCCACATATTTTACAGTCAATGTGTCCACCAGTTGATCTTTTTGCAGTTGTTGCTAGATCGGATATGGTTGCCGCCGGAAGTTAATGAGAATTATTTATATTATTTATGACATTTCCCATTTATTAAATTTTATTAACGTCTACTCCCACCCCAACCCTAAACCCAACCATCACATCACTATAAAAACAGTAGTTGTACCGAGTATTATTTATGTTATCTATTAAATTACCTAATAAATTGTATTTTTTTACACCTACCCCCACCCCAAACCTAACCGTCACAGTACTGTACAAATATCAATTATTGTTATACAGTGTCAAAAATAAATGCTGCTATATTGATGTGCATATCACACTTCCGGCCGGCCGCATAACCGATCTAGACCTTACCTAGCTGTAGGGGCGTAAGTTGTGGTCTATGTGCATTAAGTCAGTACGTATATGTAATTGGCACGTAGTTCTATAAATAACCTTTTACATCCATGGAGGCTTCCTATTTTATAAATGGTTTTTAAAGTGGAAAAGTGTCATTTAAATTTAAACTATTCTAAATATGTCAAATATCAAAGTTTTTTGATTAGCAAAAATCTTGTTTACCTATAACATTGATTCAAAACGAGAAAAAAAAAACAGCCTCATGTTTAAGAATGTAAACTTTTGACAAAGTTCTAATATATAGTTTCACCTACCTTCGTTTACAGTGGGCTGCTGTGAGCACAAAATCCTCTCTTATCAAAAAACCGCCACATGCTAATTTTGAATTTGAGTCCTTAATGTAGACCATGTAGGGTCGACTGTGTGGAATGGACACTTTCCCACCAACAATCCCATCTCGCATGCAGAAACCTAAAACAACAAATTTTTAGAGCTCAAACAATTCAGTGGAATATTCTGATAAATAACCTGCTGTAATCATTAAAATGATGGTCACCTGGAGCACAGCAACGCAGCAGTAGCAGCAGACTAGTGGTTTGCCAAATGATGCTCATCGTTGACAGCTCAGTTTCACTCAGTGTGCAGCTCAGATATGTTGAGCTCTGCTTTTATAGGAAGTGCAAAACCGTAATGATAGAATCTACTCTATGAACTGCATCCAGATCAGTCTCACTGACTTAACAGCTTTCCAATTAGAGACTAATAGAGGAAGAGCTGATCATAGATCAGTAGTGATTATCGTCATTTTTTTTTTCCTGTTTTACACCTCATTCACTCATTGCTGATAATATCAAAAAATACACGCGAATAGTGGCAGTCTTGGTTGTTCTGAGAATTTCCCTATCTGAAATGTAAAAACAATTTTGTTTACTGTTTTGTGTTCACTTTTCATGCTGTTTTTATTATGGTGTTCAGCTTCATTAAATCTTTATGTCCCCAGAACAACCTGTATTCTTAGTGACATAAACAATTTTTTTTTTATAAGATTCTGGCCTTTTTTGATAAGGTAGCATCATTCAACGCCATGAGCTTCACATTCTTGGTATGAATATGACCCTTATTTCAATCTCAGAAGTACTCTTTTGAGATCTGGAGACTGTGGAAGCCATTGGAGTACGCTGATCCTCTTGGGGTATGCGTGCATGCTTTTATGCACAGAATGTTCTCTGTGTTTCCTTGTTGCTCAAGAAGATCCTCAATTCATTCAAGTGTCCTCATCTGCTGTGGTGGTAGAGACCCTCAGCATTTAACCTCTGCATAAACAATGACTTTTCAGGACTTTTCGAGGTTCACTCGAAGAGGTGGATATTACAGGTGTTGAAGCCGACAGTCAAAGGCCTGCTCTGTCAAATGTCTAATCCAAAACCTTTATTGAATGTTTTGTTTTCTTTTGTCGATACACTTGTCTAAAGGGCTTTGCTCAGAGGTTGTGACATTCTTTTGCACTGTTGTTTAGTTTTCTCAAGGCCGGGACACATCAAGCTGATGCCAAAGATCAAGTGCCAACAAAAACCAACCTTGTTGTCAACTTGTATCATCTATGTCTGCTCCCATCTGGACCAAAAAATTGCATGTGAACACATCAAATGGGTGACAGATAACTGAAACAATAGTGTTACCACCATAAGGTTGTAAAGTCTCTCTACTCTGACTGAAAAACATCTGATTTGCTATTTCCGATTGAAGAGCGTAAGGTGGTGGTGCGGCAGAGCTGCGTGCGAAGTGAAAAGTGGAGAGTGTGTAAGAAGGTGTTTGCGCGTTGTGTTCAGTGTGCATGGGGACTATACCAAAAAGCTGTTGGGGTGGGGGGATATTCTGGGAGTTTTCCGGGAGATGGGTCTGAAATACGGGAGACTCCCAGAAAAAACGGGAGTGTTGGCAGGTATGCTTGGCGGCCATCTTGTTTTGGTCACTTGCTTTGTATTCTTTGAAGTAGTGGTGGGCAAAGTGAAGCTTCATGAAACACTGAAACAGTTGAAACAAATGTGTCGAAGCTTCTAAATGTTTCAAAACCCGTCAGTGGTCATCTTTTATGTATTGCTCTGGAACAGCTTCAGTAAGGAAACAGTTAAGCAAAGTGAAGGTTTAATCCTCATGTTGTAGAGTCAAGGCTTCAAGTGATTTAGTGGAGTGGAGAGACAAACGCGCATTCGCCAGGTCTTCGGTACAGTGTTTTGAAACACTTGCGCTTCAGGATCTCGACACGTCAACGAAACGTTTGACATCAGCCATCCCTACTTTAAAGTGTTTGTATGTTGGATAGTGTGGACTTTTTGTATGTGTTAAAGTTTGTGACTACTGAGATTTGTGAGTACTGTTTGTTTTGTGTTTGCTTTGTTTGTGGTACTTTGACGCCGTTTTATTTGTAAAACCTTTTGACCTCTGCTTTTGTGTGTGAGGTAACTAGTGTAGTTATTTTATTTTTTATTTTATTTTTGATCAGGTAAGGTAGGGATTTTTGTTTGTTATTTTGGCCTTGTCAGCTCCCGAATTTAAACCCTTATAAAATTTTTATTTCATATTTTTTTTGAGGGATTGCTCCGGTTTCCCCCACAAGTCCAAAAGACATGTGGTACAGGTGAATTGGGTAAGCTAATTTGTTCGTAGTGTATGTGTGTGAATGAGAGTGTATGGATGTTTCCCAGTGATGGGTTGCAGCTGTACGAGCATCCGCTGCGTAAAGGCTGGATAAGTTGGCAGTTCATTCCGCTGTGGCAGCCCCAGATTAATAAAGAGAATAAGCCGAAAATAAAATTAATGAATTTGTGTTGTTTCTTTCATGTTGTGCACCATCTAGATGGTGTGTAATAATAGGTTGCGTTCTGCACCTACTTGAGAGGATGTGTTTTTCTGCACCCCTAGGTAGTAGTAACCTGTTTTCTCATTGTGGTAAGGGAAACTAGAACTTGTGAACTACACCTAGTACTTGTCAAATTCTAGCAAGCTTCTTCGTGTTTCCTCTTGACTTGAATCATTTGCTTTGTTTTGTCACTTTTATTCTCAAGTGGGTTATTAGTTGCTGAATAACCCAACAGGTGAATTGTGCAACATAGGCTCATTCTGAAAATGTAGGCCTATATATGTTTCTGGAGATTGTGAATTGTGTAGCCAGAAGTGTGTATGGCTGCATTTCATTTTTAAAATGAATGCTACAGGGGGGTGTGATGCCGTTCCTTTTCACGCTTACCAGCTGACAACTTACCTCCGTATGGACCGCTTTTCTGCTGTTACCAATCTGTCCTGTTAGCTCGCCATGCACGTCGGTAGACTTGAGACACAGAGAGGGGTTGACCCCGATGACACAGTTCTAGTCCGGTAAAGAACGGTTTCAGAAAGCAGGTGGGATGAAAACAGAATCCAAAAAATAAAATAAACAAGTAAATAACAGGGTGAGAATGTGGTAAAATCTGAAAACGGGGTAACAATCAGACAAGGGTTTTCTTTTTCTGGATTGCTTCTGAAAATTGCTGGTTGGGTTTAGGGAAGTGGTGTTGGCCCATTAATCAATACAGTTGGTTGTTTTTATGGAAGGTGGAGGGTGGGTCAGACAATCGGTCAAACAGTCAGTGAACAGCAGCCTCTGGTGGTTTAACACAAGAAGAGCAGGCGCAAATGGTATTCGCGAGAGACATTTGAGATCTCAAAAAGCGTTCAAAGCAGCCTCTGGTGGATGTGCGAAAACAAAAACTGCAACAACAAAAAAACGTAGTTCCTGGGATGTATTTGGCGCTACCCAGATATGTATATAGAGGTACGTATTCAGAATGAGAATGGGATAGACATGTGAAACACACCAAACAAACTAGTCTGAATGACATCCACTGATGGCCCAATGCTGCCCAACGGCTGACCCATCTGCTTGGTGTAACCTAGCCTTTAATGTACAGCTTTTAAAAATTAATTAGCTTTTTTTTTTTTTTTAAAGATCTCTCTTGTTCTGAGTATTTGAATTGCATCCCAAGCTTGTTGATAAACTAATCCGCCAATTTGTGTTCCAGAATTTGACAGAAATGAAATAAATTTTCAATATAGTTATTTGTAAAGCCTACATAACAAAGCATAAATATATATGCAGCAGCCATCTCAGTTGACAGTTCCTGCCATCCCTCCACCTCCCCTTGTACTCCTCTTATTTGCTCAGTTTTCTTCTTCAGAAGTACACTCATAAGGGGTTTGATCTCAGAGCTCAAATCAAGCCTCGAGCCTCCTTCAAGAAGAGCAAGCCAATTTACTCTACCATTATCTGTTGGGAATAAATGAGCAAGCAAACTGTGCAACAGAGACCAAACCCTTTTCACATGTGTTATCTCTACATAGAAACTCCAACTATTGAGCCTTATGATGTATGTTTGTAAAATCCCAGGGAGACTCCACTGTCAGTTGGATGAAAGTGGAAAGTACAATTACTGACCAGAATAATGTAATAGAACATTTTACCATGACCTGTAAAACTGAAAATCTTTACAGTCATATTTTATGAATCAACTTGTCACTATATAATGTTCAAAGTGAGACTTGATGGCACGGTAGAGTTACATCAGCTAAATGGCATTTAACCAAGAGACTCTCTTGGCGGATTTGCAGTGTTGGCATGATCATCCTAAACGCATACTTATTTATAAAATAATTACCCCACAACAGAGTTCAGTTGGCCAGAGTTTTTGCAGCTCCTTGTAGAGTTCTCCAAAACAGGAAATCCATTTTTATGGCTTTCATTACAAATCTTTGATGGCTGTAATAAAAAGCGCATTCAACAAAAGCCTGTTTTGAGTACTCCTGATATTAGCGATGTGGTCACATAGTTCCTAAAGGCTGTAATGCTATATGCTTGCTTTAGCCATGCAAATAGCCAAGCAGTAGCACAGGAATGCCCATTAAGAAACTTCCTACGTCTAGACTGAGGTATGTTCTTCTCATACCTGAACCACAAGACGTTATTATAATTATTGTGAATGAAGCGCAACCGAGGTTTCGGTGAGCAAGAGATGGGTTGCACGCAGAAGACTGGGTCGCGAACAGTAATGGGTATTACAGGAGGAGGTTTGGAGCGGACTAGCAGAAAGGAGGGGGTGTCCGAAAGAGCGTTTACCGGCAGACTGTCAGCTTTATTAGAACCAGGGGGTTGACTATGGGATGGTTAAGCAATTAGACGTCATGATAGAAGTAAAGGGAAAAAAACGGCAGTTGTAAAAAGTCCATCAATCACTGTGCAAATCATGATTATTAACAATAAAGGAAAATGTCAACAGGTCACTTCCAAATGACAAAGTAGCATGTGAAAGACTTTGAAATTGAAATGATAATGCATTTGAGAGGTCAGGAGAATCAGCCAATCACAAGGAAACAACTTAATGCATTTAGTGACATAGACAAGTTCCAGATGATCTTCTGAAGTTCAAACTTGAGGGAGAATGGTGATTTTAGAGACTTTAAAGCAAATTTTCCAATCGAGTTGAATTATTTGAACTGCGCGGGTCTCCTCCTGGTGCTCGATTTCCCCCACAGTCCAAAGCATACACCTGCCAACACTACCATATTTCCTGGGAGTCTCCCCTATTTCAGACCCATCTCCTGCCACCCTCCCGTTTTGTTATTTCTCCTGGAAAACTACAGTAATTTCACCCCAGTCCTCAGCTTTGGTATAGTAGCCGATTGCAGCGGCTGCCCGAAACCCAGTCCATACACAGTAACTAACACCACAGTATAGAATTTCGGTGACAAATGTTGGCAGGTATAATCCAAAGACATGAGCTATAGGTAAATTGGTTAAACAAAATAGGTCGTAGTGTATGTGTGTGTAGTTGCGAGATGGTATGGGTGTTTCCCAGTAATGGGTTGCTGCTGGAAGGGCATCTACTGCATAAAACATATTTAACATAAAACATAGCGTGATTTCTGGGAGATTATCACTCGTTTGCGGGCATCTGGGAGTGTCTCTTTTGCAGGAGACTTACGAAACTTCCGGGAGACTTGGGATGTCTGGAATGACCTTCTGTACTACTCGTAATTCTCTCTTCATATATACCAGGGCCAGAGGGAATCTGCTGTTTTTTTGCTATTTCTGCAGAGAATTTTGGTAAAAATCTGCGGATTTCAGTATCATAACTAAAACCTTAATACATGAAATAAAAAGTAAAACCTTTATAACTTTTATTTAATTTTTAAAATGCAAATGCAATTAGATTTACTTCATTTGGTAAACAAAGCAAGTCTCTCATATAATATCTTTACTAAAAGACAGAAAATATTAATTTACAAACTGTGTTGTACATATATCAGATGAACATTTTCATAATAGTCAATAATATTGCTGTAATTAAATTAAAAACTGAATGAATTTAGATTTAAACATTAACTCAAGTAAATAAACAGAATTAATGATGGGCAAAAAATCTGCAGAAATCTGCGGAAAATCAGCTGAATTCTGTGTATGGGCCTACCTATTACATATCCATAAAACACAGTGGTATAACCAGGCTCGGATCATATTGCTTTCTCACTACAATCGATCCGCTCCAGAGTTCGTTTCAATCGATTCGAGACAACCTCATTCAAGCGATCTCAGAATAATTGTTTTGGTGCGCATCAGAGCAGGATTGCTGGATTTACATATGCCAAACGAACCGCACTAACTGGGCAAACAAGACCGGTTCCGAAGCAAAAAGTCTAGGTGTGAAAGAACCCTTAATTTCACTTTTGGTTTGAACCTATCATTACAGTTATACTTTTACAGTACGTCTAAGGCTGCAGCGAGGACACACTCGAATTTGACATTTTTTGGGTGAACTATCCCTTTAAGTCAGTTCTGAATGGAGTCCAAAATGTTACTAGCAAGATGTTCATCCGGTAGTATCAGATTCAGTCTTAATCAGCATCTTCCACTCACACACAAAATCTGTCTTTAAAATCTGTGTTTTTTTTTTTTGCAGTTCCAAGAAGATCGCCTGATAAAGCTTCTACAGACACTGCTACGTGTTACTGTGTAAATGTGTGAAAATATACATGGTCATGAGTAAGCCTTTTGACATGCAAGGCCTGTCTGTGACCCTTGGTATGCCTCCCCGGAGCTCATTTCTTTACCCTCAACAGCAGAAGAGAGTAGGAAAGGCAAGAAAAAAAGCAGCGACAACACTTTCCAGACATGGCTATGTAAGTTCGTAACACTAAATCCACAAATTTGCTGCTTCCCCCAAAACGACTTTGTAAATTGATTTACCCTTTAAGTTTATATGTATCTCACCAACATTATTACTCATAAAATAGATCCTCTTCATCTGTCCGAGAATGAAACAGAGGTGTTTCATTTGAGTGATGAGCCAGCCTATTAAAAGATAAAACAGCACCATAAAAGTATACGACTCGTTGATATGGTTTTCTAAAGACATGATGTGTTTTGGGGGCAAAAAACAGAGCAATTTACGCCGCTATTCATTGAAAGTTGTTTCAGTT